ATATATATATATATATATATATATATATATATAACTAGCAAAACATCATTTCTATACAAAAGATTGGTATGGATTTGACGTAAGTTGCAAATTGATTTATCTCAAATGTAACCATTACATATTTTAAGATGTTTCTGCTAATTTTATTTCTCTAGTCCTAGTGACAGGTCACAACAAAAGCACTTTCTCATATTTGCTGAACTTCTCTATACCACATGTTAAGGAAAGCAAATTGGGACAGTTTTTCTCACTGGCTAATGATGGTTGGAAAAGGATTCAGTCAATCACAGCATTAAATTATCTGCCAATTGAAGAAACTGAGGAATGCACATTAACACAACTGCAAGGAAATATTTTATTTTGCTAGTAACATTCAAATTTTTAAGGTGATAGATAAGAAAAAAATTAAAGGAAGTGTTGCAGAAAATAATATTTATTTCCTTGTTTAATGTTTTTGTTTACCACTTTCTATTATGAAGATTGAAGTCTTTACAAATGTAGAAAAATAACATTCAATTTAAAAAGAGAAGTGAATAAAAGCAACAAAAATGATCGGCACAACGTTCATAAAAGGAAGGCCTGGATGAATGACTGCATTTAACAGAGGCCTAATGATAAGAAGAAAAAAAAAACATTGGTGCCTTAGATATATTCTAAGCATTTGGAGTGACCACAAAGTGCAATTTTTAATCAGCAATCTACCTGGCTGGTAGCAGGAGGGGCCGTCTGTTAGTTCTCCTGGTTCCAAATTACTTAGGGTCCTAAATATTAAAATCAGCAGTCTGATCTGGCTTGGTACTAATTGATAAATACTCCATATATTAGAACAAATAAAACTTTTTCACTTTTTAGGCTTGCCAATAAGCTTCTATTTATTTTTAATTAATCATATTTCACATATCTAAAAATCAGAGAACACTGTCAGGTAAAGGAAATTCCAATAGATGGCTACAGACTGAATCCTATTACCTTTTATCCATTTCCTTCAAAATCAAGAATAATTTTATAGAGATGCAACAATTAACTGCATTATTTAATTAGCAAAATTAACTAGATAAGTTAGAATTAATATATAACTTGGTGATGGTGATTCTATAACTAGTATACTGTTTGTTTGTTTGTTTCTTCCTAATGTATTTTAGAATTGGGCACCAATCCATTAAAAAGCTCAGGGATTGAAAATGGAGCCTTTCTAGGAATGAAGAAGCTCTCCTACATCCGTATTTCAGACACAAATATAACTTCTATTCCTAAAGGTAAAATCACTCTTTTAGAGATCACCGTATGTGAAACATCAGCATTCAAGTAACCTGTTGTTTATATTTCATTTTAAAATATATATAAAATAAATGATGTCTAGATAAAAGGAATACATCATGTGAGAAAATGTTAATGTTCTGAAATTAGGATAAAATGCATTTTAATCTTAGTAATACCTTAAATTTGTATTTGGCTATTTTTTAATTTTCAATTTAAGGGAAATGGCTACTAATGTAAAGGACACATACATTTAACTTTTTATTTTGCTAATGTGTTGAGTTTATTATCTTTATACAACTTTTTTCTGTCCCCTATCAAGAAATGGTTACCATTTACCACTATGGCAGTGTTTCTCAACTTGTGGGTCACGACCCCTTTGGCGGCCAAATGACCCTTTCACAGGGGTTGCCTAAGACCATCCACCTCCACTGGCATCGCCCATGCTCAGGAGCGCATCCTGAAGTGGCAGGTGCATGAAGAGCACCGGGTGGTGAAGCAGCCTCCTCCTAGCTCTGAGCACAACCTAGATGCCACCCCGCCTGATCTCCATGCCAGGGAAAGCCCAAGGCGCTTAAGGGGGAGAGAGACGGATTTTTCTGGGTGGCAGATCAGCCTCGGCTCCAATGGACGTCCGAAGGGAGTGCGGACAGCGGTGCTGCTTCAGCCCAGCTGCCTGCACAGGGGCTCGAAGGCGCCCAGAGAACAGAAGACCAGTAGGGCATTTGGGCCACCTGCTTCAGCCGGCAGGACAGGCTCTCGCCCAGGCAGACACATGCCAGGATTCAAGCCACCTTGGGCCTGAACGCTGCCTTTGCCGCCCCCGCCGCCGGTCCTGTCCGGCGGGCTAAACTGAGCTCAGAGGCTTTTGGGACCCCAGGAAGGGCTGGCAGGAGAGGCCAGAGGGGAGAGTGGTCCCGCCCACCCATTCCTTCTGTCCCGAGGAATTCCACTCAGGACAGAAGCACAGTTTGATGTAGCTTAAGCCTCTGTTTAAAATCCCATTTAAAGGGCAACTTCTTAATCTGTGTTTAAGAAATAAAGAAGAGGGAGGAAGGGAGAAATGGAAGGAAAGAAAGAAGAAAAGGGAGGAAGGAATGGAAAGAAAAAGAAAATGGAAGGAGGAATGGAAAGAAAGAAAGAAAGAAAGAAAGAAAGAAAGAAAGAAAGAAAGAAAGAAAGAAGAAAGAAAATAAAAGGGAGGGCAAAATGGAAAGAAAGAAAGAAGAAAAGGGAGGGAGGAATGGAAAGAAGGAAGGAAGGAAAGAAAGAAAGAAAGAAAGAAGAAA